GGGGGGGGGGGGGGGGGGGGGGGGGGGGGGGGGGCTTTCCTTCCACTCTTAAAAGGGATATTTTAAAAAAAAATGTTTTTTCTACAATTAAATTCAATACAGTACTTTTTATGAATTTTAATCACAAAGCATTACAGACCAAATGTTGTGAACTAGATTAAATTATTACTGATCTTCTGGTGTGTTTTGATGTGTGTCGCTGTTGGTTGCTGTGTGTGCTTATATATAGGCCCACAACATGACCTGTAATAGCGTAACCAAATTTTTTTTTAAAGAAATGGTTTGAAAATGAAAACTTTAAATCTACATTCTACATATATTTATAGTTTATAAATGATTCATAAGATGAATCACCTGTACAATGTTTCAAGCCTGGAGAACATATCCCCCACCCCCAGCCCCAAAATGTATGTGTGAGTGCGGGGTTGATAGGGCCCACTGAACGGGGGTTGATAGAGCCCGCTGACTCGGCGTTGATAGGGCCCATTGACTGGGGGTTGATAGAGCCCGCTGACTGGGGGTTGGTAGGGCCCGTTGACTGGGGGTTGATAGGGCCCGCTGAATGGGGGCTGATAGGGCCCTGCTGAATGGGGGTTGATAGAGCCCGTTGACTGGGGGTTGATAGGGCCCGTTGAATAGGGGTTAATAGGACCCGTTGACTGAGGGTTGATAGGGCCCGCTGAATGGGGGTTGATAGGGCCCGTTAACTGGGGGTTGATAGGGCCCGCTGACTGGGGGTTGATAGGGCCCGGTGACTTGGGGTTGATAGGGCCCGGTGACTGGGGGTTGATAGGGCCCGCTGACTGGGGGTTGATAGGGCCCGGTGACTGGGGGTTGATAGGGCCCGCTGACTGGGGGTTGATAGGGCCCGGTGACTGGGGGTTGATAGGGCCCGCTGACTGGGGGTTGATAGGGCCCGGTGACTGGGGGTTGATAGGGCCCGCTGACTGGGGGTTGATAGGGCCCGGTGACTGGGGGTTGATAGGGCCCGCTGACTGGGGGTTGATAGGGCCCGGTGACTGGGGGTTGATAGGGCCCGCTGACTGGGGGTTGATAGGGCCCGGTGACTGGGGGTTGATAGGGCCCGCTGACTGGGGGTTGATAGGGCCCGGTGACTGGGGGTTGATAGGGCCCGCTGACTGGGGGTTGATAGGGCCCGGTGACTGGGGGTTGATAGGGCCCGCTGACTGGGGGTTGATAGGGCCCGGTGACTGGGGGTTGATAGGGCCCGCTGACTGGGGGTTGATAGGGCCCGGTGACTGGGGGTTGATAGGGCCCGCTGACTGGGGGTTGATAGGGCCCGGTGACTGGGGGTTGATAGGGCCCGCTGACTGGGGGTTGATAGGGCCCGGTGACTGGGGGTTGATAGGGCCCGCTGACTGGGGGTTGATAGGGCCCGGTGACTGGGGGTTGATAGGGCCCGCTGACTGGGGGTTGATAGGGCCCGGTGACTGGGGGTTGATAGGGCCCGCTGACTGCAACTTAAATCAGCACGACGCGTGTAAACCTTTCATTTAGATTTCATTCCGACCTGGTCCGTACGTCATTCACCTTAACCTTGACAATAACATCGATTGAAACACTCTATGAATCAATCACGTGACGCGTGCAACTAATGGCGTTTCATTTGTTCCGCTCCGAGTTTACACAAGCGCCCGAAAACCGGTGGGGAAATTGGGGGTGTGGGGGGGGCTAAGAGATATCTGGTATAGGAATCCGTCTCATTAGACGTCATCAAAGTCACTTAGTTTAGTAGAGTTCATTTAAAAAAAAAAAAAAAAGACTGAGCTTTACGGATGGCATAAGTGTTGGAGCAGGTAAAAAAAAAAAAAGTTAACCAGATTGAGAGCAACCATTCCTGCTCCATTCAATGACGACATGGGAAAATTACTTTGATTTGTGTAGTTCGAGCAATAGGTCTAACACAGTGGGAGCCAACCTGCGGCTCTTTGAAGAAATAGATGAGGCTCTTTTTATATATATATACCAAACCATCGTGATATGCAGCGCCCAATATGTATTTTCTTAGCACATATGTCTTATAAAAATGGCTCCCCACTGCAGAAAAAAGAAAAGTTGGCGACCCCAGGTCCAACAATTTGACCTTCTTCCGACAGCCCACGAGCCCAGTCTGAACAGAACCGTAAATTATTCGAAAAACATTACATACTATAAATATTTTCATAAAGTCTTCGGAAATTTGAAATGCAGTTAAAAGTCGGGCTTTAAGTAAGCCATAGGTTATCATATCTTTACGTTTTAAAAGCAAATCGATGAATTCAGTATGTTAAAAGGACAGTTTATTTTGGTTTGCCCTACTTATTCTTTTCGAAGTTTAAAAGAAAAAATGTCCATTTTTTTGTTGTTTTTTTACCAATTTTTATCATAAAAAAGGAAAACTGTTTAATGACGAGAGTATCAGGTGGTAAACAAACAACAAAAAATGAAAGAACAAGTCATTTATTATACATGTTATATATAAGCAGTGCTTACAGTTTAATTGTTTCAAATCTTAAGGCATGCATATCAAGATTGTTATCTTTACTGGTTAGAGTGACGAACTCCTTATCAAAATGTCACCATTTACATTTATAATGAATACATAATCACAATACGCATCAACTCTTTTATTCAAGCAATGCTATTTGATATACACCAGAGATTTTTTTTTCTTCATTTCAGCTCGGTGTGACTGCCGTTGTGCCCAAACCTTGTCATGTGGCAACCGTTGTACCCAAGCCTTGTCATTTGACAGCCGTTGTACCCAAGCCTTGTCATTTGGCAGCCATTGTACCCAAGCCTTGTCATGTGGCAGCCGTTGTACCCAAGCCTTGTCATGTGGCAGCCGTTGTACCCAAGCCTTGTCATGTGGCAGCCGTTGTACCCAAAGCCTTGTCATGTGGCAGCCGTTGTACCCAAGCCTTGTTATGTGGCAGCCGTTTTACCCAAAGCCTTGTCATGTGGCAGCCGTTGTACCCAAGCCTTGTCATGTGGCAGCCGTTGTACCCAAGTCTTGTCACGTGACAGCCATTGTACCCAAGCCTTGTCATGTGGCAGCCGTTGTACCCAAGTCTTGTCATGTGACAGCCATTGTACCCAAAGCCTTGTCTCGTGACAGCCGTTGTACCCAAGTCTTGTCATGTGGCAGCCGTTGTACACAAGTCTTGTCATGTGACAGCCGTTGTATCCAAGCCGTCTCATTTAATGCGGCATTCATCACAGTCAAGAGTTAACATGTAGTCTCACAGAGTTAATGATTTCTACAAACGTCGGCCCTCGAACCGAAGAATTTTTTCAGTCTGTCATTGTTTAAAGACTTGCCGCGTCACCTATGAAGCCATGACGTCAGTTAAAAATTTACGTCAGCCTAAATCCACCCCCACCCCCTAAATCCAAGTTTGTCAAATACGAAAATGTAAGTCATTGTGGAAGGGTGTTGGTGGGGAAGGGCCAGAGAGCCCCCTCTACATGGGCTTTAGCGCCACAGGGATGGAATAAATCTCCGTAGCTAACCAGCAACCTTGGTCGGGCAGGCTATGCGTGTTTTTTCTGGACATAGAATTAACCAAACTATTTTTTTAATACATGACTAGAAACGTATCAAGACACGGTTAAGGACACTCGATTACTGGTAAACGTGACGCATACAAAGACTGACATCCACAAGGACATACGCGAATGACGTGCTGATTTGAGCTTGAGTGTAAAGGTCCACTCCTCTCAATGCGTCAGGCGTCTGGGATGTAATATGCAAATACGTCCAAATTCGTTGCACGTTTGAAATAATTATGTACGTTCACGAGATCATATTCAAATATAAGAGATTAAATTTGAATTATAAATAAAAACAATTAGGCATCTTTCTTTCTTTCTAAATCTCTCTCCTCTCTCTCTCTCTCTCTCTCTCTCTCTCTCTCTCTCTCTCTCTCTCGCTCTCTCTCTCTCTGTCTTTCTCTTTCTCTCTTAAGCACTCTACACACAACCTCTCTCTCTGTTTAGTTGCACGTTTGAAATAATTATGTACGTTCACGAGATCATATACAAATATAAGAGATTAAATTTGAATTATAAATAAAAACAATTAGGCATCTTTCTTTCTTTCTATATCTCTCTCCTCTCTCTCTCTCTCTCTCTCTCTCTCTCTCTCTCTCTCTCTCTCTCGCTCTCTCTCTCTATGACTTTCTCTTTCTCTCTTAAGCACACTACACACAACCTCTCTCTCTGTTTACAAATACAATTTTAAATAAAAATCTCTTTCTCAAATATCAGGATCGTTATCACAGCACATATGTCACATATGGACGCTCACCACAGCCCATGCCTCAATTACACATTTGTTTATTTATTTATTTTTTTAAGAAAAAAAATCCAACAAATCATGATTTTTGTACAGTACATCAAGTGATACATTAATAGTTGTATATACACTGTTAGTAAAAATTATAAGTCGTGCATTCTACGTGTACACACTGGTCAAAAGATGGCACAGTCCTGTCTGAATTTTGGTCACTGTGCAACGCCGGTCAACAGCGCCACTTCGTTACGTCGTCATTGCCGCCAGTAGCGTCAGCATTCTTTGTGCTCGTCATCCTCTACCTCACCATTCTTCAGAAACTCATCCGCTATTTCGAATATTCCAAATCAACGCTCTCACACACCACACACACGCACACACACCCCCTCTTGTTTCCTGTCCAGTGGATCAAAACGGCCCAGCGTCGTCTGTCTCGTCAGGGTTCACGACGTAAGTCTGCGACGCCATCTCCAGGTTGTGGAAAGCCTCGTTCTCAAAGGCGACCGGCTCCATGGTGAAGTGCTCCTTGTCGTAGTTGTCGTCCCTGAAGTCGTCTGGGTTGTTGTCGATTTCTTTGGAATCTTTCCGCCTGAAATCGTGCGAGGTGGAACAAGATTATTAGCGTTTGATTAATTTGAGCGTGGCACATGTTTATCTTTTTTTTTTAAATCCTCATTTAAAGGACATATTTCATGTAAAAATGAAGAGGGGAAAAAAAATGAACGAAAAAGAAAATTAATTGCATTTTTATTTGAAAATGTTAAAATAATAATTTGTTTCCGAGAACATTTCTAAGCTGGTAGACAAAAATTCTTGTAGCCAAATACTGAGTTTTTATTTCCTAATAAACTAATAAGGTGTTTCCTAAACACCGGTGTGTGTAGCATTACTTATTCTTCCACACGCGTTTGACCAAGCGACTAAATTATGGACTATCAGACCAGTTCTTTCGCTAAACAATTGTATTAAGAGATTGCCATTTACAGTTGTAGGCGGGTACATTTTTTGGTTTTGGAAAGAAACTTATTAAGAAAATCACTGACGTGTTAGTAGCATACTCCAACTAATTCATAACGACAAGTGAAAATAAAGATCAAGCGAACACACAGACCAAGTTGCAATTAATGCGCCCATTTGTTCTGCAAAATAAGCTTAAGTTTCATTTAAACGTTCCAACAAAACAAAAAAATTAAGACGTACATTCTTTGAAGAATTCTAAATAATTAATGAAAGGAAATAAAGATTAGAAGATATCTTCCGTTTATTAAATATAACATGTTTTAAAACAACCTTGAACTTTAAAAAAGAAACTTCAACTATCGGATTTAATTCGCTTTTTTTTCTCTTCTTTCTTTTCATTAGCATGTTTCTCACGGTATCACTATCAATGAACTGCTATCGTACCGAGCTTTGGGCAAACACGGTAGCATAAACATGGGAAGTAACTAGGATAAAAAATTGTTTTCCATAAAAAAATATTTAAAAAAAACTCTTTAGCATTAACACTAAAAAGACGTTGAAAAAATTAACCATGCACAGATTAACGGCAGGGTTGAAACAAAACTAGACATCTATGATATGCAGCCACGTTTCAAGTTTTTTTTTTTTTTTTAAAATAAAAACAAAGCCAATTGATTGATAAGGATGAAATACAACATGCCGTATGAGGACGAATACTTAACCAAACAAAAAGATGTTTGGAGTGAGGTGGGGGGGGGGGGGGGGGGACACAAATAAATGATAGTCATCTTACAGCCTTCAAAAACAAAGCCAATTGATTGATAAGGATGAAATACAACATGCCGTATGAGGACGAATACTTAACCAAACAAAAAGATGTTTGGAGTGAGGTGGGGGGGGGTGGGGGGGGACACAAATAAATGATAGTCATCTTACAGCCTTCATTGCCCTAAATACCAATCCCTTCTCCTTTATCAGGCAATGCAATAGTTCATAGTAATTAATGCGATTAAAAAAATATATACAAAAGTACAAAGAAAAAAAGTAGAGTGAATTTTAAAGTTAAAGAAAGCCAAAACCATTTCTTTGATAAACCTAACCCCAGTATAACAATTCTTTTTTTTTTTTTTGACGTTATAATTTGTATTCTATAAGAAAGATCCGGCAACATAGCAGTCCAGGTATAAAAGAAACATGCTACAAATTCACACAACACACATACTATAAAGTCACACAACACACAGACTATATAAGTCACAAAACACACATACTATATAAGTCACACAACACACGTAGTTTAAAGCATGCTTCATGCTATATATAAAGATGAAACGGTGTTGCAATACAAGACCTACTTTTTCGAGCGACCACAACATTTGATTCTGTAACAGAGTTGTTGTTTTTTTTTATTATGATAATGAGTCAATGGCGAATACTTGAATAATTATCTTAGAGAAAGTGCATGTCTTAGGATTTTAAATTTCTCTTTCTGCGCCCCCAAACAATGGAATTCTTGGCCACTAAACATACGCAATATACCAACCACCCAGGCCTTCAAAACTGCACTCAAAACATATCTTTTTAAATTATACTACCCTGACTGATTCCCCTCCTCTGACCGATAAACGATCTTGCTGGCTGCCGTCCATGGTTTGCCTTGTAAAAGTTATGTGGTGGGGTGGGTGAATATGCATTGCTGTTCTTTTTTTTTTTTCATAAATGTATTTTATTTTAAAGTCATGATTATGTCTCTTTTGATAAAAATGTGTATGTACAGCGCGGTGAGCCCAGCCTTAGGCTGGGGTACCGCGCTATATAAGACGTCTTATTATTAGTATTATTATTATATCTCAGAACCTCCTTTATTCCCTGATTTGTGTAAATAATGCTGATTTTTTTTCTGCGTTAACATGTGTAGGTGGGAAAATTCAGGTCGATTAGGTGTCGCAAAGCAATAGTATATTACAGGGATCCTCAAACGACGACCCGTGGCCAGATCTGGTCCGCCAGGCGTTCTTAACCCGGCCCTCCAGGGCCGCCGTTGCACGGATACCAGAGAAACATTAATGTAATATTTTTTTCAATTGAAACCTGAAATTAACAATCTCTCCAACCATAAAGCAGACCAATACTTTGTACTGAATTAATAAGAAATGTATGTTGATTACAATTGTTCTGGATTTTAATAGTGTATTGTTTCTTTTCCTTGTTTTTTTTTTTTTGTTTGTTGTTTCCAGTGGTCATAGGAATTCGTTCATACTTTCCTCCGGCCCCTTATACATTGTCTGAGGAACAGTGAACCGGGCCCTTAATTAAAAATCTCGAGGGCCCTTGTAATATTAGGAATACAAATAGCGTACGTGACTCTATCTAATAAACCAAAATTGCAAAGTAATCGTACCTGTGTGCAAATGTGCGAGTGCTGTGTGCAAATGAGCGAGTGCTGTGTGCAAATGAGCGAGTGCTGTGTGCAGTATAAAAGTGAACACTACCAAAACATAAAAATGGTACAGAAATGACAGCTGATTTTTTTTTAAATTAATTTTTTACAAATATAAGAAAAATAGTTTTATTTTATTTTTTTTGGTCAACCTACCTGTCCCTAAATATGCAGATGAAGACGAAGATAATGACTAGTATAAGAAGAAGGGCAAGAATAACGCCTACGGGGATGTACCACGGCTGAAAAGAAGAAAACATGCAATGTCATGCAGGGTGAAAGTTCATGACGGGACAAACCAATATTTTGGCAAGGGGTGTTTTCTTACCCTTCTTTTAGCATCTTTTAAGAAATAGATCAATTTCTGATTATTCTTTTTTATTTTTTAAATCTTTTATAACATTAAAAAAAAAATCAGAATTACACGTTATGTGGCTTATGGAATTTTTAAAGAGTTAAGCATGAGCTTTGCTAATGGAATGGGGGTAGATTTAAGAAATTATCAAATACTTTCACACTACGTCAAAAATATTTACAATTTTGAGATGCGTAACATGGTTTTGGTAAAGGGGGGTGGGCGGGGATGGGGGTAAAAGAGTACAGGATGCTTCCAGTTACTCAGCCAACAAACGTGTGGAGCCTCGTTTAGAAACAGGAGAGTGAAAACACGCCTGCCCAATATGGGTGTGCACCATGGTGCGTACCAAATCAAAGGTTTATCCAGTGTGTTATATACTAACATTATTTACGACAATAATTTGTGTTTGCGACTTTCATTCTCGTCTACACAAAAAGCAACAACATGTTTTGTTGTTGTGTCTTTGTAAACGAACGTGTTGCTACTTAATGACATGCCAGGAGTGCTGGTTATCTAAGTCATGCATTATAATCCCTGATCTTAATCTTCACCTCATTCCCTAATTTTAATCCCTATAGATCTAATCGATCATAATTAATCTCTTTATAATCCATTATCTTAATCCGTTCACGTCAATCCCTCATGTTTGTCATTTTTCACATTTTAATCCCTTATCTTATCCTCTTTCTTTAATTCAACATCACATACCTCTTCTAAAATCGATCTCTTCATGTTTTCTAATCTAATCCCCCATATTCATCATTCACATTAATCCGTGTTTGATAGTTCTGGAGAGAACTTGATTAGATCAATGAAGTAATGCATCATTATCGATTTATATGTATATGTCAGGGTGCTACCAGAAATGTGTACCGAAGAAATTTGTTTGAACGGAACTTTGTTTTTAAAAAAATTAGTTTGAGAGGGGGGGGGAGGGGGGAGGACAACAAAATGTTTTAAAGTTTACATTTCTCCCCATTAATCACTCGCAACAACTTCCTTTTACAAACAAATAAGTAAATAAACCTTGTTTTAACAAATTTTATTTCGAATAACCTTCCGTTCGACCTAATGTCCGTTCAAACAAACTTCAGTTGAACAGCTTTCCTCCGAACTTATTTCTTCCGTACTAAATATCCGGAGATGAAATTAGGGAAGGTGAAAAAGAACATAGATGCTTGTGGGAGGGCGATCAGGAGAGATTTGGCGGGGGTGAATGGGGAGACAAAGTCACATGGCCTATCTAAAGGGAATTTATTTATTTTTTTAATATCTACCAAAAAATGAGCATTATTCTCCTTTAGAATTACCTTTTTTTCGAAAACTTTTTACTTTTTTTTTACTTTTCTTTTTTTTTTTTTTCCAAAAAAAGAATTAAGGACAACCCCCAAGAATTCAAAAAAAATTAAAATTTACCATTGGTGGACACAACACAAAATATGTTGCAGTCATCAATTTATCATGTCAATTTCTAGGTAGCAACATGTTGCACTCCAGTCTCAGCTGAAGTCTACCGTAGCCATCCGCACACAAGTTTTTAATGGTAAATATGCCAAAATTAAATTGGTTTGGTACAGTATTTTAGTAAATTGCTTTTTTAAAATACATGCAAATATATTAAAATTATTCTATTATTATTCGTATTATTTTAAACATTTCTTACTCTAGTTGGAAAATCATTTCTGTTTAATTGTTGTTCTTTTGCCTATTATTTCTACTCACAAACTCATCGCTTTCCCCGCTGTTGGAAACACCTTCCTCTACGAACGCGACCTCTGACCCGGTATCAGTAAATTTGGTTTGCAGGACAGTGCTCCTAGGGGGCTGCAAATCAAGGTCAGTAACTCCGGATGTTCCGTTTTGGAGAACTACACCAAACGAGACTGTCCGCTCCTCATCTCTGAGACATAGAGACAACCCCTTTACAATATGCTATAATGTATTATGCCCTACGATATACACACAAATTTTCTCTTTAACGTGGCTAGCTTCTGTTACACAGATTGGTATGGTTATTGCTTGATGTTAATTTACAAATTTTTGTTAGCATAAATGTCACTACATTGTTGTATTGTAAATTAATTATATTGAGGCCTAATTTTTTAATTTAAAAAAAAAAAACACAATGTGCAAAATATAAAAACACCTAAGTTAGACAACAGTTTGATGCTTACCGGCTTTGGGGCTCCGATGCATTAACTCTGCCAGGTGTCACAGAGAAGATGTTCACCTTGATATCACCATCGTATTCTTTGATAAAAAAAATATTCAAAAATTTAAAAACTAAACATTAACTATGGGAGCCATTTTATCTTTTAAATTAAAATTTTACGCTCTTAACAAATTTTTGAAAAATATTTTGACTCGAATTGAAACGTTTGATCTTGAACGATTGGTAGAAATGGTAAACCTCTAGTCTAAACATCTATAATTAACTACGTTTCTCATGAATCCACTTTCAAGTTAAACCTGAAACTAAATAGAAAAAAAGAATATATATACATATATATATATTAATGAAAACAAAGGCATGGGATATCTCATGGCAGGGGGCTCTTTACAAAAAAAAGTGAGAAATGAATAAGATTCCCAACATATGCGTTTGTTTAGAGTATGTCCAAATAAAAAAAAAAATAATTTTAAACCCGCCACCTCCCCCCACCACTAGCATGGAAAAGATTTCTATAGCCTGATTTGAGAAAGATTTTTTTTAAAAAATAATCTACCTTTGTTAGCATCCCTCCAAGCCTCTTTTATGGCCTTCCTTACCTTTGTTAGCATCCCTCCAAGCCTCTTCTATGGCCTTCCTGACTGAATCCACCTGGTTGCCGTCGGCAGGGTTCAAGTTGCCGGTGGCTGTGATCGCGTGCTGTTTGATGACGTCACAGCTGCACACGGCCAGCGCGTCGCCAAATCTCTGTCTGAAGTTCAGGGCCAGGCTCGAGACCGGGGGCTCCTCGGCGATGGTCAGGCTCCCGTCGGCCTGACCCACGGACACCAGGTAGCTGACCACGGTGACACGAGAACCGCTGCGGGAAGAAAGCGGAGTCACTGAGAGGGTGAGACGTGCAGCCAAAATACTTTCGGGACGGAGTAAATGGTCATTATAGATGTAGCTAACATTGAGTCAGTTGCAGTTACAACATTCACCGTTTAAGCCCAACCATGGTTATCAATAAAAGGCAGTCACCGATGTATTCTTTGACAGGCATTGACGCCACAATTATTTCCATTCGACCAACCCTAGTGTTGCAGTTTGCAAAACTTGGTGGGGGAGTATCATTTATTTCAATACATAAAGTGCATGGACCCGTCGATAGTTTTGAACTAATGAAAACAACCACTTACTTCTGCTTGACAAAACTCTCCGAGTCCATTTTGAAGATCGCTACATTAATGTCATCTACATTTATTTCTGTACAAGTAAAAAAAAAAAAAAGTATTGTTTTTTCGTTTCTTAATATTAATACATAATGCAAAATATAAAAATCAAAAGGAAATATCAGAACTTTTACTAGTATGATATAATGAAACGTTTAAATTTACACTGTTAAAAATCTGTCTTAAACGATCTTGTAGCGATTAACTTGCTGGAATTCAGCTAAAGTAATTTACTGTAAAAACTTGGACTAAGCCATAACTTATCTATACAGGCTTATTGTAATTTAACGATAACAAACTGTTATTTTTCAGTATATCGTTAGTGATAACAAACTAACGGGGTGTAGTGGTTTACTGGCAATATTTGTTTGTTTTTTTTTAAAATAATAATCATTTGCGCATATTGGCTACTAATGTAATTTGAACCAGTTTAGTTATCAACACAGCGAAACGGTAGTTAGTTCAGGCATTGTTCTTAAACTATTTATTGTACGTGACCTACCGTTGCTGTTGGATGCCCAGGCCTCGCGGAGCGCCGTCATCATCTGGGCAATGCTCTGGTTGCCGACGACTCCCTCAAGCACGAGTCTGTGTTTCTGTCTGATTGGCATGCCGACCTCGAGTGTCTGTAAATTGTAGCGCCCCAGGACCTGCTGGAAAGAACTGCTTGATTGGGGCGGGACGACGGCGTCCAAAGATGACGTTCGGAAGTAGACTTTGGTCAGCAGCGATCTGTTGGGGTGGGAGACCATTAGAAAAAAAAAAGTTAGATTACGGGGGTCTTCTGTATTTTTATTTAACATTTCCCAGCCCCTACTATGAATGACACTCTTCCTCCCATGTTTAAACTTTAAACCACGTTATATAACGCATTGTCTCACTAGAACTATGGCTTGCATACATTTAAAAAATCTTTTCTATAAATAACAAATTAGTACGTTTTATTACCGGTGGATATCGTAATAGAAGTCCCTGGCAATGATATTAGCTCCGTCGTTCACTGAAAGGAGAAAGAATGGAATAGCATTGTTTATTCTTAAAAAGAGTTAGTAAACATAATTTTAAAATTTCATTGAACTAAATAAGCCCGAATTTAGCTCTTTTTTTTTTAAATTAAAAGCCATCTTGACCTCCTGAAAATCGGTACAGTTTTTCCTTTTAGAAATATTTAAACCTAAACTTTCAAATTGTGTATTCATTTTTTTAAGAAGAAAGGTGGTATTCAAAGTACATTAACCAGAAAAATTAATAACTTTGTACAGAGTTGCTTCCCTGAATACTTTTTTTTCTTTTGTAGATCTTTCTTTTATCGTTAAGTTTTTTTTTTCCCCGTTTCATTTGTATATTCGAATACATAACAGTGCCTAAAAAGGAAGCCAAGTTATCTAAACCTAAATAAAAATCGTATGACGTACCCTGAATGACCTCGTTGAGCAGACTTCTAAGTGTGAAGTACGTCACATCTCCGTACACGTAAAGCGAATGTGCGCCTCGGTGCTGGCACCCACATGGGGTGAAGATGCCTCCAAATTCAGCCTGGGAAGGGCCCACCACAGAGGACGGTGCAACCATGTTTCCGTTGAGCGTCACAAAGTAGGCGAGGTTAGAGATCGCTAGACTGTAAGAGAATAAAGAAATTGGGAAATTAAACAACTTTTAAAATAATGATCAAGAGAATTGTATTTTAAATGTATTTTAATTGTTGCTAAAGAATTATTGGATAAATTTACTTTTTTTTCTTCAAATCCCAAAGTAAGAGACGTGAAACCAAGATAGTCAAGAATCACTCATTAATCCATGACTTAAATCATATTCTTTATTCAAACGATTACACCCCGTCAAAAATTGTAGGTGAAGAACTTTTTAAATAGTTGAAGAAGAGCATCAAAAAGGGGGCGCGAACGCATATTATAAAAATGCGACACTGTTCCAAATGTTGCTACTCTTTGCCTTAGTTATAGACCTACATACGACAGAGATCATGTTAGTGGAGGATGATGATAATATAAAATTCTCAAAGAAAGAACAAGCTGCAACTCAGTTTAATATATCAAGGGTAACTCTTGGAGATGATAAATTCTTTTGTTTCTTGTGTACATTTTTGATGGAGTTTCTTTCTGCTCGAGTCAACCGGCAAGCTCAAGGTAACGGCAAGTTCAATGTGATAGACTTACTTGGTGTCGGTGTATTGAAGCTCTGGGCGGACATAGTTCAGCATGATAGAACACGACGTCCTGGCGCACAGTGAGTCTAAAGATTACAAGAGTTGGAGGAAATTAATACGTGGAAATAAACTTAATTAAATAAATTTATTAAAATAATTGATTTTTTTAAATATTAACATGGTAATTATAATTAAGAAAACTCAAATAAATTGGAAGTCCAGCAGTTTTTTGTTTAATTGCTCACAAGTTCTCAATGAATTCTGCATAAAATTAGTGGCATATTCAGCAAGAAATGTAAATAACCAAGGGAAAAGAGCTAAAGATGATGAATTAAACAATAACATTACCAAAATATTTTTTACTTTTTGAACTAACAAATCCATGAACTATTTTATTTTTAACTGAATAGTGTTTGGCAGCGTTAATGACCTAATTTGGTCACCCAATTTAATAACGTATTCAGAAATTAAATCCAGTAAGCTAAATCAAAAAGTTACACAAAACATACTATTGAAGTAGCGCTGCCACTGGGTGCGAAGTGCATATTGTGCGTCTCGTCCCCTCTGTGACGTCAGCGTGACGACACTGTTGGCCAGCACCTCGTAGTGATACGAAAAGGACCTTACGTCATCGAACATGTACAGCCCGTAGACGTCCTGATGCGCGCTGAATGACGTGGCGATGGCGTTGATGGACGGCGCTTCCGGTGAAAGGATCAGCTGGAGATTCCCGTTTTTGAATACAACGTAATAGAGGCGCGTCAGCCTCGTTCTGGTGGGGGGAAAAAATATAGATCAAGTCTCAAGATAAAAAGAAAGTTATGGTCAGAGTTTTAGAAAACAAAACTACTAAAGGTGTTTATTTATTTTTTTCCATTTGTGTGCAGCCGATCACTTTGGTTTAGTCATGTCTTTGGATCTAAACATCTTTGAATATAAACGCATAAAGCAATGAGTCCATTTATAAACCATCCTAATTGAAGACCACACTATAATATTTTTATATTGGCAATGGATCACCGGCTTAAATGCAGGAAAAAATGCATTTCCATTTGCGAAAAGGACCAGCTTACCCGTATCGTCCGGCTGAACGTTGTCCAAGGATAATCCTGCTGGTAAAGGTACAGCCACCACAGCCTGTGAAAAAGATAGGAGTTTGCACGGACGTGGTTTATATTTTGAAACTGAAATAGTTATGAGTAAAATTCAATTTTTCTCCCATTAAGATATATTCCAGCAGCTGGCGGGACTGATGAAGGCAATAGTTTTATCGCGTTTTGCGCCGCGCCAATATGAACCAATCGTACTTCCAGCTCTAGAAAACTAGTTTGGCTCTTGGGAGCATCCTCGTGGAGGGGTGGTGTGGTGTTGCTGGGTTTTTGTTTTTTTTATCCCTAACAATAAGTGCCTTACTGGGTTGACGATAACCATGGAATCTCTTATCCGACTACAAAAAAAAAAAATTTTAAGGGTTATAATTCCCCAGGAAAATCGAGAATCCCTAATGAAAGGGCTAATTACACCTGGATCCACCGGGTAATTTCTCAAAATACACAGACCCGGTGTAAAAAAAAAACTGCACTCATTTAAACCCCAGTAATTAAATAATCTGATACTTGAATTGGAATCCAAAGAGCCTTAAGACTCCTGGAGAGTGACGGGGAGTTGTCAGCAAGACGTATTAAAGTTTGCGAGGAGAGAGACGCTGTCACAAAGAGCCAGTTTCCATCCAACTGTGTGTTCCAATGTTTCTCTCTCCTTACAACCAGTAACTAACCACCCCCCACCCCAACTGATATTTTCGAAAAAAAAAACTAGAGTAAGTCTATGTTAATTCCAGGATATAACATATTGCCAATGTTCCCTTTAAGCTGCGCGGCTGCGCGGCCGCGCAGCTATCTCACAGACGCTGCGCAGCAGTTTTGAGTATCACGCAGCTGATTTCAATGTAAATAGGTGTTTGTCTTTGTGGACTGTAAAGTTTTGCACACACAAAAATTGATGCTGTAAAACTTTGCACACAACTGTATGATTTTGCACACGTACCAACAAACCTTAGAGGGAAGATTGAATGTTGGCCCTGTAACATCCATAATTACCCTGTCCATCATTGAGTGTGAAGACTCTTCGTCTTACGGAATCGGGTAGCCCCCGCGAGAACAACATACTTTGCTGCATGCAAAAAAAAAAGGGGGGGGGGGTGGTTGGACTCGTTTGATATTTAGCCCAAATGTACCTGAATTTTGATTGGCCCAGCTCTCGGCAATGATGACGCTCATCCTTGGGGACGTTGCCGTGGCAACGACTCCGGATTTGCACACGGACCAACAAACCTTAGAGGGAAGATTGAATGTTGGCCCGGTAACATCCATATTTACCCTGTCCATCATTGAGTGTGAAGACTCTTCGTCTTACGGAATCGGGTAGCCCCCGCGAGAACAACATACTTTGCTGCATGCAAAAAAAAAAGGGGGGGGGGGTGGTATGACTCGTTTGATATTTAGCGCAAATGTACCTGAATTTTGAGTGGCCCAGCTCTCGGCAATGATGACGCTCATCCTTGGGTACGTTGCCGTGGCAACATCTCCGGTGACGTCGAGACTAAAGATCACATCTGGTCCGTGAGGATAACCTCTGTACACTCGGTTATTGTTGATGGAGAATGTCGACGTGGTGGTGAGGAATCGGTCCAGCTGAGTCAGCATGACATTTCGAGTATCCGCTGGATCGATCCCACCAGTGAGCAATGCAAAAGTGTACTCGATGCGGATCAACGAATTCCTTAAAGACAAAACAAAATGAAACTAAAAATCATCATAGAAATCTTTGAACTATTTATGTGTGGTTTTACTTTTAAATTAAACGATCGGTTCATATCGACATAATGTGTTATGGATTGCCATACTGATTTGGGGGTGGGGTTAGGAGCTCTGGAAAGCAGATGTAGAGCGGCAAGCAATGCTGTGTTACAGCAACCGGATTTGGGGGGGGGGGGCCTGCGCACCTACTATTCCCCTCTAAACTATGCAAGATGTTTTAGGAATCAAAGTTTAGATTTCGGGCCCCCAGGCTGTAGCCCGATTGACCCATGCATTAAGACGGTATGGGATTTTAAGCTTATGCCATGTCACTTTGGCGTGGGCGAGATAGTTTCTTCTGTTAATTTTTTTTCCTTGAGATTGAGGTTGGTGGGATATGGTGGTTTTGAATGTTTTCGTCTTTATCCCTTCAGTTTGAGGAGTTGGGATATGTTGTTTTAAAATTACCTTTATGAGGAAATGTAGAATAGTTGTACCTCTTTAAAAAGCTCCACCCCACGCTCCCATGATCTCCCCCCCCCCCCCCAACCGGGCCTAAAACTAAACAAGAAAGGAAAATTCAAATTTTAAAAATAAATATGTTTTTTTAAAAATGCATACCAGTTGTTGTCGAAATATTTGTCGCTCTGGTCCACCACAATGATGAAGCAACAGGAGGAGCCTGCCAGTAGAAACAGAAGGAAAATGAATGAGGGGGTGAAAATAAGTACAGCAAGTAAACATAAGCCTTGCATCACTGTCAAAGATAAATGTTGAAATGTTTGTGATGACTATCAACCGTAAGAATGTTATGTTCGTCTAATGAGTTGGGTTTTTTTTAAGTTAAACAATCTGAATTGTTACCACATGTACCTAAGGGGTCGTTCACAAATTACGTCACGCTTAGGGGAGAGGGGGATCGAGAATAAGTGACACTTTGTGACAGAGAGCGGGGGGGGGGGGCAAAAAATTTGTGACGAACTTTTTATTTTTTTTTTTTTTTTAAACCTAAAATTTTTTATTTTTAAAAAAAAATCTTAATTAAATTAATTTTTTTTTTTTTGAAAAAAAATCTTAATTAAATTAATTATTTTTTAAAAGTTAATGTGAGGTCGAAATTGTCTCAGGTATTATAGGTAGGCCTACTATGAAACTCAGTTTTCTTATAATACTACATCCTAATCCATTATGTGAAAATTTTAAAGAATAAAATAAACTCTTAGTTAAGTTATGAAAATTTTATGTATGTTTTGAATTTTTTTAGGTGTGACATGACACGGGTGGGAGGGGGTAAAGAATTTTTGACACTTCGTGACAGGGGGAGGGGGGTCTAAAAAGGTCATTTTAGCGTGACGTAATTTACGAACGACCCTTAGTGAAAAGATGAATCGTTAACAGTGTATTAAAAAAACATTTAAATAGCTAATCTCTTTAGAGTTTACATGAACTTCGAGATATTAAGTGTGCCTACTGTATATATGTATGTATAGAAGAACCACGAATTGAAAAATATGTTTGAAAAAGGCATGCTCGTTTCGTGAATCACACAATTTTATGGTCGATTTTTGTGTGTGAATGAAAATGGATACCTCAAAGGAGCTTATTTAAATGTGGAATGAGGAATCCATTTAAGAAGATAGAATTATATTTCCCGATCACTCTAGAATTACAACTATCGATTCTCACCTGGTTGTTCGGGGGCGTTAAAACTGCTGATGATTAGATCGATCAGTCTGGTGTTATCCTCGTGAGAAATGGGACCAGTGATGAACAATTCGCCTGCCATGTAAATTATACAAAGTTACAATGTTACAAAGGTGTGCAGAGCACGTTGGAGAGGTGGTCACAACGCTAGACATAGCCGGGTGAAGAGATTATCTCAAAGCTATAACATGTTAGGAAAGAAAGCTAAACATATCAGCATAAAAAGATGGTCACAAAGCTTTACATATCAGGGAAAAGAGATTGTCCTCAAAGATATACATAGCAGAATAAAGAGATTGTCACTAAGCTATTCATGGCAGGGTAAAGAGACGAGTTAACATACTAAGAATAGGTTTGTGAAAACATAAAAGCTGTGAGCCAGATCAATGCAGCCTTTATTTATTGCAGGACTTTTATCTAATATTAATTGGTCATGGAAATTTTTCAAGACAGAGGGGAAAGGGGTGAGAGTAATTAAACCAATAATTATTTTTTGTTGTTGTTGTTTTTTTTTTAATCATCTCAATAAATATTTTTTTTTACGTTTGGATTAAATATCGGTGGAATAATTTCTGCAACATACGGCAGTTATATAAGATGAATTTTAAGTGCATCTTTTTTACAAAAACATGCACTGTAGGACATTACCTCTAATCAATCTCTGATCAGGTGGCAGAGGGGAGCTGGTTGGTGTAGACGTGGCGAGGACAGAGGATGTCGTTGAGAGGGTTGGAATAGCCGTTGACTGTTGGTAAACAAGTGACGTAGCAAGGGGCATGAATGGGACAACGGTTGCCGTCGTCGCCATAGATAGCGGAGTGGCAGGGGGGATAAATCCTGTCAGGCTTGTGGGAAAGACAGTACTTCCCTGAAGTGATTGCCCTTGGTAAGCTGTAAAAGACAATGACCGGTCTTGGATCGACCCATCTGCTACGCTAAATAACGACATTGTTGACTGTCCAGTGCGCACGTCCGGTAACACCGAAGTCTGACTGCTTATTACGTTGGGACTATAAGATTGGAGTGTAGGCGTTGCCGTTCTTGATGAATCCAACGGCAAACTTGAACCGGAGACGCCAGACGCCGTCGCAGAACCGAAGGGAGAAGAGCTTCCGGTGTGGTAAGCTCCACTTCCGTAAACAGCAGGCGTCATCGAGGACATCAGACTTGAAGTTATGATGTCACTTCCAGTTAGGACTGATGTTGACTGAATCGCCTGGGAAACGGTTGAAAATAATGAGACGTCCGAGCCGTGTGATAAACCGATGGGCCTGTACTGGGACTCGGTGACAGACGAGTCCATGACAGTTTGTCTAACCGAGCCAGCGAGATTTCCCGAGTTAGAGGATATCGCCGAAGTTTCTAACGATGCGGTACGCAGAAAAGCCGTTGCAGTTTGAGACGGCGTCAGCAATCCGGTATTTGAAATGAGAGATCCAGAACCATTGTCGGGACCGGGCACGACGACTGGATATCCATTACCAAAACCACTAGAGATGGGGTACAGCGAGGATGTTGGAATATTTGAGTATACGATGCTTGTGGCAGTGGGCATTACCGAACCTGTTGGGGTTATTGTCAACGAATATGACTGTGATGCAGCGTGCACATTGGGGTTGAAAATACTGTTTCCTGACGCGTCCCCACCAAGAGGCACATAAGGGACTTGGAGACTATCGCTGATGTCCATTACTGACCGAGATAGAGATGCCGATATCTGACTGTTGGAAAGAGTATTAAGTGGGAGGAGTGTTCCTGTAGGTGAGACTGTCGAATCGGATGGGCCTCTAATGAGCGGTAGGCCGAGTGAGTCGGTCATGCTCCAGATACCAGAAGCACTCAACCCCATCGTCGTCAGTGTGCCAACATCTACGTTGAAATTGGAAGGTTCAATAGTGGGTGTTAGGAGCGCTGACGCCGAACCAGTCAAAGAAAGTGAAGCGGCATTAACGTTCGTCGATTCCGTTTTTCCATTGCTGCCGGTAACATCAAAGATTCCCAAGGTCCTGGAAACTCTAGATTGGTATGAAAAAGAGACTGTAGTCTCGCCCGTGGCTGTATTGACAAGCTCACAGAACCTGCCCATATTCGCACGGGGACAGCTGCAAGAGTCTCCGGCGGGAGATGATTGACAGGTACCCCCGTTGTAACAAACTAGCAATCCGCATTGAACCACCATCATCGTCTGGGTGGACGTTGTCGTATACATAGACGACTCATATGTCCACCCACTGGTCATCGTTGGTTCCATTGACACCATTGTATTAGGAGCGGCAGACATATATCCGGTGTCAGATTCTGACTGGAAATCATGTCCATCGCTGGGCTGAGAGTTGGAAACTGTCCAGAGGGCGGTCGCAGATTCTATATGTCCTGGAGTGTTTGTGTAAGTGAATCCCTGCCCAGGTACGATCTCACAGAACTTGCCCATATTCGCTCGGGGACAGCTGCAAGAGTCTCCTGCGGTAGATGATTGACAGGTACCACCGTTGTAACAAACTAGCGATCCGCATTGAACCACCATCATCGCCTGGGTGGACGCTGTCGTATACATAGACGACTCATATGTCCACCCACTGGTCATCGTTGGTTCCATTGACACCATTGTGTTAGGAGCGGCAGACATATATCCGGTGTGAGATTCTGACTGGAAATCATGTCCAGCGCTGGGCTGAGAGTTGGAGACTGTCCAGAGGGCGGTCGCAGATTCTACATTTCCTGGAGTGTTTGTGTAAGTGAATCCCTGCCCAGGTACAATCTCACAGAACTTGCCCATATTCGCTCGGGGACAGCTGCAAGAGTCTCCTGCGGGAGATGATTGACAGGTACCACCGTTGTAACAAACTAGCGATCCGCATTGAACCACCATCATCGTCTGGGTGGACGTTGTCGTATACATAGACGACTCATATGTCCACCCACTGTTCATCGTTGGTTCTATTGACACCATTGTGTTAGGAGCGGCAGACATATATCCGGTGTGAGATTCTGACTGGAAATCATGTCCAGCGCTGGGCTGAGAGTTGGAGACTGTCCAGAGGGCGGTCGCAGATTCTATATGTCCTGGAGTGTTTGTGTAAGTGAATCCCTGCCCAGGTATAATGTATTCGTTGGTTGACCCAGCAATATTTGAGCTGAGGTGCTGTACTGTGGGCGTCATACCATTTACCTCAACGGTCTGTGCAGAAGGAGTCATAGAATCGACATGGTGGCTCAATGGCTGAAAGTCGTCGGATTTTTGGGACAAACCTGAATTCATCGTCACTGATGGCTGGCTGTTCAAATTATTAGAGTTTGATTTTACAGTTGATTGCTCATCTAAGTTAAAAGATAATACATTGACCGTAACCGTTGCCAACAGCGGAGTCGCTGGTGGGACATAACCATCAGCCAGGCCAGCTGACATGGAGCCGTGTGACGCGGAAAAATGGTGAAGAGCGGATGTTGGAACCCATGCGGATAATCCACCAGAAACAGTCGCATCTGTAGAAAGGCGTGAAGATGACGTGAATGAATTCAAGTTTGATCCATGAACTGATGCTGTACTTTCGGACAGGCCAGTGACGCCCGAAAAATATGTCATCGTTGATGCGGCCAAAACTGGTATGGTAGTGCCGTACACTAAATCTTTTGAATCTCCAGCGATTGATGAATTTGAAGATGAAGACTGTATGATACCGTCACCCATAGAACCCACTGAGACTGTCGCGGTTGTTGAAGGCAAAGCTGATGCAGCAACGGCGGCTGTTATGGTAGCACCCCCTAGTGTTGAGCCAGAGGCTGGTACGGCTGTTGGTTGTATCATCATCATGGAATCTGTTGCAGTTAGTGAAGCAGAAGCCGGTACAGCATTGGAGCCTGATGCATCCACGAAAGCTGTCATAGCCTCCTGAGATGATCGACTAGCAGCGCTGTCCGTCTTACCCGAAGTCACCCCTGTTGCTGATGCTCCACTGAAACCTGGTTGTGACCAACTTAACCAAGTAGTGTCCATATCGACACCTTCAACGCGTACCTCGCAGCTTTTACCCGAATAGCCGGCAATACACTGGCACATGTAGCCCGATGCAATGTCCAAGCAGACGCCGAACTGGCCACAGGGCGATGAGCTGCACGCCAATCTCTCCTCCTGGCACACGCTCCCGGCGTACGGATACGGACATACACAAGTACGGTTGAAACAAGTTCCGTTATTTCGGCAACCAGTGCCGCGAATCGGACACTCGGGATCAACATTTACTGGAACTGTTCTCTCTGTACAGTTGTCCCCAGCCCAGCCGGACATGCAGATGTGTGTGCCATCTTCGGAATTACAGAAATAATGACCTTTCGTGGAGTTCTCTTCTATGCAGGTGACAGAGCAGTCATTCCCATACCTATTGGCGGGACATAATGGATTGCTTGGTGAGGTTTGAGCTGATTTCTCACAATTTTTCCCATAACTTCGACCAGAACAGATGCATATATAATCTGATTTTCCATTATCCACGCAAGTGCCCTGATTTAAGCAGCTTGCCAGCATACACGGGTTATCCACTGGGTAGGGTGTGGTGGAGACATTACTGATACTACCACCGAAAGGTTTGCTGAGGTCTTCCTCGCAGTTATAGCCAGAGAATACGGGCCCGCACGTGCAGAGATAACCGTTGATCAAATCCGAGCAAGTGCCGCCGTTAAGACAAGGGCTGCTCTCACATTCCAAGATCTCGACGTGGCACAGCGACCCGGTGTAGCCGGGAGCGCAGCAGCAGGTGGTGTTGAGGCACATGCCCCCATTCCGGCACGTGCTCCTTGGGCAGGGCACGCTGTGCACGGCTGCCGGATCCCTGACGTCGCAATCCGGTCCCAACCATCCGAACATGCACACTTTGCGTCCCGTTAGCTCGTGGCAGTTGTACGTCCCGTTGGAGACGCCGCAGTCGAAGCTCTCCTGGCAGAATACGTCACATCTAGGACCATAGTAATATTGCGGACAGTTCCTGTTCGGGTAGAGCATCGTCTCGCAAACCTCCCCTGTGAACATCTCCGGGCAGCTGCACCTGAAACCAGAAATTCCCTCAAAACAAGTTCCGCCATTTTGACACTGTATCTGCGGACAGTAGAACGCCCTTTGCTCACAGCGAGGCCCGGTGAAATCAGTGGGACAACAGCACTCGCCTTGGAAACATTGCCCGCCGTTCAGACACGCGCAGGACGGGTCAATGACAGCACGGACCGTGCAGCTGGATTCTCGTGTCCAGCCGGGCAGACAAACCCGACGTCCGCTGACCGGGTCACAGGAGTAGTGGCCGGAACAGTCATCGGCTGGTCTGCAGTAGGTCAGACAGTCGGCGCCGTAGTAGTTCCCCAGACACTTTCGTCGCGGAACGGCGGAGGTGGTTGGTGGTGAAACGGTGGTGGTCGTTACTGGGACCTCGCAGACGTCGCCGGTGAATTGAATCGTGTTGCAGATGCAGTAGAAGCTCCTGTGTGTGGGTAAAATAAAAGTAGATAAGTAATATTTACGAATTTAGAAAAGCCTGTACGCGTTTCTATTTCACTGCACTGGATGCGTTGGAGACTATCCTTTGTTGTTGTTTTGTTGTTTGTTTGTGATAATATTATGAGACCTCCCTTTCATTGATTTGAAAATCGTTACAATATAAAAGATTAAATGTAATTGCTATAATGTAAAAAAAAAAATGCTGCTACATGATTGATAATTATAATTACAAAAATAAATCGTATTAAATAAAAAAATATGTTTGTTTATTTTCATGTACGCTGTATACTTATAGGTCAAGTATTCAACCTGTGACCGTTGACACCATAAGTGGTACACTAATTAGTTCTTTCAACTTGAAACGGAAAGTTATGCTCTTCTTGTTGTTTCAATTAAAAATGTTCCCTTGAGTCATTGACTTAAATTATCCTCTGCCCAACCTCCGACTGACTGTCAAAGAGCGCCAGGCTCTAGAAAGGTCGGTGACCCGCAGATTTAAATAAACTTATTCAACAGCAACTTCCGTTGTTAAATACACATGTTGTTTCATATATATGTTTATGTTGTTAATCATAACTCACGCGTTAATTAACAACTGTAAATGACTTGGGCGAACAACTATTCTGTTTGTCCTCTTACAAGGATCAGCCTACTGTTTGTGTTAAACTCCTTATTTATTACCATGGTTAGATCAAACTTTAATTAACGCGTTGAACATTGCTTTACTAAAACGAATTTAACCATATGCTAATATTTCTAAGGGAGACATCTTTACTGACTTAGAAAGACTTATATAACGAAGAATAATATGCAGTAAAAATTCACTAGAACTTTTGAGATCAAAATGGTTTAGAAAAGGTTTTTTAAAAATTGACAAATTGACTTGTTTCATTTTTCTTACGTTGTTCCCGCGATTTGAAAGGGAATGCATGCTCCTCCGTTTTGACACGGGTTATCTGCGCATGTCCTTGACACCTCACACGATTTACCTGTGTATCTTGGAAAAAGTAGAAATAATTCAATTGTATAAAAAAAAATTAAAAAATAAAAAAAAATTAATGGTACAATTATTGATAAATAATGTTATACATTTTCATGTAATATATAATAAGGTACCGCAATAAGAATATTTTAATTAAACAAACCTTAAAAACATAGTTTTTCCTATAAATCCTTTATACAATGTAATATGGGGGTGGGGTAGGGTTGAGAATTGGAAAAAAAACACGCATTCAAGTAACGCACTTGATAAGAATCCCAATTAGGGCTCACCCACCCAGCTCACCCATCCAGCTCACCCACCCAGCTCACCCACCCAGCTCACCCACCCAGCTCACCCACCCAGCTCACCCACCCAGCTCACCCACCCAGCTCACCCACCCAGCTCACCCACCCAGCTCACCCACCCAGCTCACCCACCCAAGACTCGCAACCACACATTTTTTTCACGCCCCTGAACTATATTTATATTCTAAGGACCCACTCGCTTTTACAGCGCATATTTATTTCATCAATTATTTCAGAAAGGCAAAAGAAAATATTGCGCACCAAACACACGTACGATATGTTTTTTAAGCATCTCATTTAGCGGATTTATCGGGATTTTCCTTCAAGCACCCCTTGGAAAAACGGTTAAAAATTGATTGTTGGGGGTTGGGGTGAGGCTGAAAATTTGAAAGAATGTGTTGTCATCAGCAACGAGTCTATATGCCAAGTTTCAGCTCAATTGCTTGACGGTAAGTTGGTCAATTTGCCGCCTGAAGATTTTGGCACCCAGCCAGCCACAGACAAAAGCAACGTTAATATAAAGGTTTTAGAAAGGCTAATTAATAGCCCCCACAAAATTTGTTCACGATATCTTGCGACACATCTTCAGCCATATTTATCTCAGAATCGATTAGAGTAACTATTGAAGTTTTAAAATTTGACATAATTATATAAGTGTTTATTAATCAACTGCCTTGACTCCCCTAGGGCCCTACTTGTCAACTAACTAATCCTGCGGGGCATAAGGAACGCCTTCGATGCCAGCCCTCATTCCCACTTGAGGCACCTTTCCCGACTGATGTCACCATTCTTAACAATATTATAGAGTTTCAATTTTTTTGTTTAAATCGCAAGACGATGAAAAATATATACCTCCCAGGGCACTGACATCTATAATTGGGCGGGGTCTCTTCAATACACTGTCCTCCATTCAGACAAGGGCTGCTAGAACATTCGTTTTTATCTATTTCGCAGTTGTCTCCCACGTAGCCTTCACTGCAGCAACAGTAGTAGGATTCTGTCAAGTTGTAGTTTTGATTGGGGATACAAGCACCGTGGTTGGTGCAAAGGGCATCTGGAAACGGTTTTTAAAAAAAAAGTATTTTTCTTACTTGGCTTCGGTTATACTCATAAGAAACAACTTTATGCAAGAGAATTCTTCAAAAAATGAAGAGCTGTGGAGAGTTAAAATGAACTATATGAAAATTATAAATATAATTTAAACTCCAAAACATTGTAAGAGAATGTCAAACATTAAATTGCGTTTCTGCCAGTAAAATAGGTACAGATTTGTTTGCGAGGAGTTCTACATGGTGTGAGAGACGAGGACTAGATAAATATTTGAAAATTTAAAAACAATCACTTGGGCATCCCAGGTCAGAAGATAGTGGCTGATTGCAGGCGCCGCCACCCCATCCCGCGTTGCAGACCCTCTCTCCTGTGACCAGGTTGCAGGTGTAGTGACCATTGCAGTCGTCTGATAGGACGCAGTTGGCGTCACATGAGTCACCATAGAAGTGAAGATCGCACCGTGCGGTCACTTCAACGGTCATTCTGTTAGGAGACGGTATAATTTTAATTTAAATATATATATCGCTACTTAATCCCTCGCTATGTAGATCTTATCTACAGTGGCTGACTCTAATTTTATGATTGAAGGGGAAATATAGTGATGGAATTATCAGTGGGTTTTTTTTAAATATCTTATACAATTTGAAATTAATGTAACTTTAACTACTACATCATGCACACACAAAAATTAACTTCCTTTTTTCTAAATGATCCAATTTTCAAAATGAACACACACACACACGAAAATGATTAAGAAGAAGAGAAATTTATAGACCCGCAAAGATTAAACAATGGCCAGAAATAAGAAACAGACAAACTAATGGAAAAGCTTCAAACATCCAATAACAGGACTTGTTATAAAAAAAAGCATTGTGTCCGCAGCTGACAAGGGAGACTTTGAAGCGGCAGCAAAGAATCAATTGAGGGTGTATTTTCACACATGGTGACTAGTTTTCTCCTGGGCCTCTTCGATACGCCCCTGGTGAAGACATAACTTTGAACATGAGGCGTGGCCTTAGCGTGGGACGTGGCCTTGGGGGTGTGTCTATCAGGCTGACCTTGACGGATTATTGCTCCTGTTGCCGGTCAATGAAAACGGAGTGAAGGTCAAGTTTGGAGACCTGCCCCTGGCTGGTGACGTCAGATTGTACCAAAACTGCAGCACGTCCACCCTTTGGCTCCCGCTGGTGTCCTGGTCAGATACGGTCACCGTGACCAGAGTTGATCCCTGTCAAATTAGAAGGAAAACTTCATATTAATGTGTTGCGCGCGGATGCCCCTTTGGGGATTATAGTCAAGCTCATTTATACTATGAGGTTTCAAAAACTCATGAACTTATTTTTTTTTAAACATCATGTGACATTAGCAAGCACGTCGCAACGAGTTATCATTATGGATATTTGCTAACCCTAAAATATTAATTTTTTTTTTTTACAAATTTTTTTTTTAAAAATCAGACGACTTACTGGCCACGTGTTCACATTAATGAGTGCGGGGTTGGAATGGCCGTCTGGAAAACTGGCGGGAAATGTGAACTCTGGATCCTGGACGTTCAGACCGCCTAATGTGACAGAGGCAAGGCTGCACGGGGAGCCGTATCTACAAAAGATGTATATTGTTAAACTTGAATTGAAAAAGGACAAACACTAAATTTAAAAAAAAAAAGAAAATGTTTCTCTCAAATTCTGATATCAGTGGAAAGAAAATTATAGTAAAGTAAAACCAATACGGACTTTAAAAATACCAACAGAGCATGCGCAAACTCCCTACGCCCAACAGCGCATGTTCAAAATCCCAACGCCTAACAGAGCATGCGCAAACTCCCTACGCCCAACAGCGCATGTTCAAAATCCCAACGCCTAACAGAGCATGCACAAACTCCCATCGCCCAACAGCGCATGTTCAAAATCCCAACGCCTAACAGAGCATGCACAAACTCCCATCGCCCAACAGCACATGTTCAAAATCCCAACGCCTAACAGAGCATGCACAAACTCCCATCGCCCAACAGCACATGTTCAAAATCCCAACGCCTAACAGAGCATGCGCAAACTCCCTACGCCCAACAGCGCATGCCCACCAGCGAATATGCCGAAATCCCAACAGCCGCAAGCGCAAACAGCTTAGGACCATCAAGAGTACGAAAGAGAATGATACAAGGCAAAATCTGTTGCATCATTTTCAAAGAATATCATTTATCATACCCGCTGACGTTCAGTCCTCTCCCCCTCTTCATCCGCCGCCTATGTGTTGCATTGACTCCCACGTTGGTTTCAGTTTTGAGAGCCCTCTAATCTAATTATTCCTTCGTCCCACGGGTAACTTTGCAGACCCCACAGAAGCTTACTTTTAAAGTATACTCGAGAAGACGGGGGTCACGTGGTGTGTTAACAGGTCGAGTTAACCTAACTAACTCAGTGACAACACGTGCCGTGTTTAAAGAGAGTCTCATTGAGTTTCAGGGTAAATTTGTTCTTCCACATAGACTACAGAACGGAAAGATGTTCGCTGAAAGACATGGGAGGGGGGGGGGG